GACCTGGAGGCCGCGCTACTTCATCCTGAAGAGTGACGGATCCTTCATGGGCTATAAGGAGAAGCCGGAGCTGACGGATCAGAGCTCTGCTCCGCTCAATAACTTCTCTGTGGAAGGTGAGCTCAGCTGGAGCCGCTGAAGCTGTGATGTGTGTATGACTGTGTGTGTGAACGGCTCGTGTGTTTCCAGAGTGTCAGCTGATGAAGACCGAGCGTCCACGGCCAAACACCTTCATGATCCGCTGCCTGCAGTGGACAAGCGTCATCGAGAGAACCTTCCACGTGGAGAGCAGCGAGGAGAGGTCAACACTCACTCACTCACTCACACACTCACTCACTCACTCACTCACTCACGCTCGCACGCACGCACGCACGCACTCACTCACACACACACACACACGCGCACACACACACTAACACACACACTAACTCTCTCACACACTAACTCTCTCACACTCACTCACTCACTCACTCACTCACACACACACACACACACTCTGTTTTGGTTACGTCTTCAGTGTCTCACACACACACACGCACACACACACACTAACTCACACACACACACACACTAACTCTCTCACACACACACACACACTCTCACACACTAACTCTCTCACACTCCCTCACTCTCTACACACTAACTCTCTCACACACACACTAACTCTCTCACACACACACTAACTCACACACCCACTAACTCTTTCACACACACACTAACTCTCTCACACACACACACACACACTAACTCACACACACACACACACACACACTCACACACACACACACACACACACACACACACAAAACATTATATAAAGGTTAGAGATTGATTTGCATTTCAGTGAGTGAAATAAGTATTTGATCCCCAAGCAAATCATGACTTGGTACTTGGTGCAAAAACCCTTGTTGGCAAGCACAGAGGTCAGACGTTTCTTGTAGTTGGTCAGCAGGTTTGCACACATCTCGGGAGGGATTTTGATCCACTCCTCTTTACAGATCCTCTCTAAATCCTTAAGGTTTCTTGGCTGTCGTTTGGCAACTCAAAGTTTCAGCTCCCTCCACAGATTTTCTACAGGATTGAGGTCTGGAGACTGGCTAGGCCACTCCATGACCTTAATGTGCTTCTTCTTGAGCCACTCATTTGTTGCCTTGGTGGTCATTGTCATGCTGGAAGACCCGTCCATGACCCATCTTCAGTGTTCTGGCTGAGGGAAGGAGGTTCTCGTCCAAGATTTTATAGTACATGGCCCCGTCCATTTGCCCCTCAATGCGCTGAAGCCGTCCTGTACCCTTAGCAGAAAAACAGCCCCAAAGCATAATGTTTCCAGCTCCGTGCTCGACTGTAGGGATGGTGTTCTCGGGGTCATAGTCAGCATTTCTCTCCCTCCAAACACGGCGAGTCGAGTTAATGCCAAAGAGCTCAATTTTGGTCTCGTCTGACCACAACACTTTCTCCCGAGTCTTCTCTGAATCATTTAGATGTACAGGCCTGTTTAAAGTTTGAGCTGGGGGAGCTTGCGGGTGCTGCAGGATTTCAGTCCATTGCAGCGTAGTGTGTTACCAATGTTTTGCTTGGTGACTGTGGTCCCAACTGCCTTAAGATCATTAACAAGCTCCTCCCGTGTAGTTCGAGGCTGATCCCTCGCCTTTCTCATGATCATCCTTACCCCATGAGGCAAGATCTTGCACGGAGCTCCAGACCGAGGCCGATTGATGGTTGTTTTGTATTTCTTCCATTTCCGAATAATCGCACCAACAGTTGTCTCCACCTCACCAAGCTTCTTGCTGATGGTCTTGTAGCCCATTCCAGCCGTGTGCAGATCTACAATCTTGTCTCTGACATGCTTTAACAGCTCTTTGGTCTTGCCCATGGTGGAGGGAGAGGTTGGAATCGAAGATACAGATTGTGTGGACAGGTGTCTTAAACACCTAACGAGCTTCCACATGGGCACATAACCAATCTGTAGGGGATCAAATACTTATTTCACTCACTATAATGCAAATCGATTTCTAACCTTTATATAATGTGTTTTTTCTGGATGTTTTGGTTGATATTCTGTCTCTGTACGTTAAAATAAACCTACCATAAAAATTTAAGTGGGCAAACTTACAAAATCAGCAGGGGATCAAATAAAT